CTGGGGATTCGAACCCGCCACCTTAGGTGTACGTGGCTGGCGCCTTAGCCGGTTGAGCTATAGGCGCCGAGCCTTCTTTTCTTCTTCTAAGACAGAGTCTGTTGCCCCAGCCTAGAGGTACTGTGTCCTACTTGTTAACAGCCTTAAAGAAAAGGGGGGCAGGCTCTCAGGTTTTCCCTGCCGTCACCACAGCCCCCTGGCTCAGAAGCTGTCTGAAATCTAGACTTCACATCCTGTCATTTCTGTTCTTCAACAAGCTCCCCAAATAAAGGGACCAGGCGGGGGAGGGGGTAGTGAAACTTCATTAAGAGAGACAGATAAAGGAGAAAATGGTTTTAAATGTTTCTAGCCTTTTTAGGCCCAAACTATCCCACTGTCCTCAAACTGTGACAAATAACCAAAGCAGAATGGCTACAGTGCAGGTCAAAGGGGACTGACCTGAGGTGCATTCCCACCACAACCAGTTCCTGCATAGGACTCATGCTGCCTGTGGCATCAGGAGTCAGACGTCTTCTAAAACCCAATGAGCTGGGAAAAAAGACGCTGTGTTGGGCTCCCCACTTCAATCCCAAGCCCAGCCAACTCTAGGGCCAGTAACTCTGGCCAGGCTCAGTGCCATCTCCTGTCCCCAGGGAGGAGCTCACACAGGTCTTCCTTGGAAGGAAAGAGCAATTTGCAGGAGCTCATGGCCCAGTTCCTGCTGCCTGCCTCCGGGACAGAACTCAGCTGACAGCTCCCTGAAGGTGGCACAGACACGGCGGGCCTTGATGTGTCTGCGGTGGATGGCATGCTTCCACTGGTGCCGAGCAGCTCCTGTTAGCACCAGCAGGGAGCGGCGAGGTAAGGAGATAGCCACTTCTACCTCCTGGCACAGCACAGACCTGCTGGGGGCTATCACACTGTCCACCAAGACCTCTGGGGCAGCCGATGGGGCTGAGCAGAGCAGGAGGCTGCCGGGCGCCTTGCGGCACATGGATAGCACAGTTGGGGACAGGAGGTTGAGGCTCACCAGCCGCTCCCCCCACAGCCAGGTGTCATCCAAGTGGGGGTCAATGGCAGAGCCCCACTCAGGGCAATAGTCCAGGTTACACTGCTCAACAGGCTGGAAGCCCTCCAGCCCAGGATAGAGGCCCATTCTCCGTACCACCTCACGGCTAAAACTGGGAAGGCCTTGGAAGCCTGCAGTCTTTAGCTTCTGTTTCCGAAAGTTGACTTTGGGGCCGTAGTCCTGAAGGATTAAGACAAAAGGAAGGTGAAAAAGTGTCTAAGTTCACAGGCCAGTTCTAAAAAATTTAGTCAAAATGACCATGGCAGGCTCGGCGCCTATAGCTCAACTGGCTAAGGCGCCAGCCACGTACACCTAAGGTGGCGGGTTCGAATCCCCAGCC